GTATATTGTTTGACTGATGGTGGTTTGCGGTAGATGGTATGCCATGCCGAACCGTTTGCCACTGAAACTGCTTTATAACGCATCAGTAGGGCTCGACAGCCATTATCAAACGGGTTGGCGCATATGGTTGGGTTGCGTGAGATTGTGTTTAGGTCTCTGTAGGGGTCAGTAAGCTGGGCTGAGTTGAGTGGGGGACTGAGGGGGGTGACTCTGGGACACCAGGGTCACTATCGAGCCCTCTTGAGGTCTCGTGGGCTAGTCAACGAAACACTGAGGACGGAAGATGCCCACTTGAAGACCCTAGAGATGTCCCCTACTCGGCTCAATCCAGGCGGTTGTCGTAGTGGTCCACTAGGGAAACCACACTATAGTTGCAGCCGTCGTGTGTGCTGACGTGGCAAGTACACTGCAGCCGTTAACGCCGGACAAAAGGGGAGTCACACCATCATATAGAAAGAAGCGTAAATGGATGGAGAAGCATAGTTTACTGTAAAGCTACGTCTTAGCTTACCTTGGCGAAAGCCAAGTATAAATCAGCATGAAGTTTTAACATCTACTCTCGTGTAATAGAAATCAACATTTCAGGTAAAAACGTAACGCATATAAATAAGAACACATTTTCATCCCAAGACGTCATCTGACGCTTTTGACCATACGTCAACATCCGACGTTTTAGGGTACCCTTTAACGTCAGTTAGATGACGCTATCCTTGTCACAGAACACTTACAAAAATGGGAAGAGAACTCAAGTGCAAAAACAAGGAGGATTTATTAACAAAAACAAAACAAACACAAATCAAAAAACCCACAAGGGGGAAACCACAATAAATGAACATGAAACCACCATAGACTCTGACCATAAGACCATCAACAAGGAACTGGGATGACGTATGACAACGAACCGACAAAGACTGCATACAAGAGGAGACTTAAAAAGGGAACAAATCAAGAGGGGACAGGTGGAACAACTCAAGCACTAATCAGGTAACGAGGGGGAGGGATCAACAATCACAACAGCACATGGCACAACATGACAAACACCCATGAGCAACACAAGACAGAACAGGCATGTGACAATCCTAGGGTGTCATCTAACTGACGCTTTACCTTTAGGTAGGTCTGGGTTAGGGTTAGGATTAGATAGCGTCATCTAACCGACGTTAAAGGGTACCCTAAAACGTTGGATGTTGACATATGGTTAAAAGTGTCAGAGATGACATCTTGGGATGAGAACGGGCTCATAAATAATGTTTTTTTGCTAACGTTTTGAGAATATTATTAAAGACTAGATATCTTTGAGTGAATGTTTTATTAATGTTACTGGAAGAACATTTGTTCATAATTTTAAGAGAACCTTGACACAACTTTAGCCAAAGTTCTGATAGTGTTCCCTGTTAGCTGGGTCATCAGTTGATTAGTTGACATAGACCCCAGAGCAAAAGACCAGGCTGAGGCTGTGTGACATGAATAACCCTGCAGTTGCAAAGATGCAAAGCAGCCGCTTCTAGTGTATCACCCGCTTGGCTCCCACTCCACACACTTGGGGCCGCGTATGAATACGGCACAGTGAGCGGGGGAGTGAAACAAGAGGATCTGACCTCCACCTGCACTGACATCAGCCGTTACTAGCCAAATGATCCTCGCATCAAAACAAGCCACAGATCCACTGCTTAGTAAGAGGTGCTGTAAAGGTGCAAGATGAAACAAGTCCAGCTGAGGACCGCACAGAGAGAAACCTCTCGCCCAACAACACACATTCAATCTACTGACGGACAGCACTTTATCTACACTAGCAACTTTTAAACCATTCCTCCAACAAGAGGGGAAACTTGCACTGAGATGTGCTATTGTCTGTCGTGATACTGATAATGTTGTGAATCGAAAACGTTTTATCTTTGCACTGAGAACATTGCTTTTTTTTGCCTATGAATAAAAGCATTTTGTACAATTTTTTCTACTTGGTTATAATTTTTAAGTGTTATTTTTTTGGTACTCTTTTGCCAGTCTTTTACTAAAAATGTTACTTTCAAAGATTGCCCCAGAGTTGTTGTTTGTTTTGTTTAAACTGTATCAGGTGATCTCTCTGAGGTGATTATGAGCGACGTTATCTTGATGGAGGGAGGCCAGTTGATGTGCATCTGCACTTGGAAAAGCTCGGCCTCTGCCCTAAGCCACTTCAAAATGAAATTCCTGCCTTCCCTCATCTGACAAACCTGTGTCTGATATAGTCTTCAAAGGAAATGTGGCAGGCCTCTACCTCCAGGCTGAGGTAATTTGACTAAAGCTTTGCAAAGAGAGAAGACAAATGTTCTGGGCTTTTTTCCTCTTCAAAGATTAGATACGATGATGCTTCTTGTACACGTTAATCGCTGTAAATGGGTAATCTCAGGAAATATGCAAATGCATGAAAATATTAAAACAATTTTGAGAACTTATTTTTAAAGTCATATTTTACTCACATCAAGAGGGTGAGGGAGAGCCATTGCAAGACCAATATTTAAGTTAACAAATACAGGTTTTTTTTTTTCAATACCATATTTAGGACACAGCTCTGAGTAAGTACATAATTCCAGCCCTGCCACAGACTGTATCATTCAGAATACCTTCTATTAATTAATACCTTCTATTCAGAATACATCATTTTAGTAGATCTTCTCAAGGTAAAATGCAATAAAAATGAAACTTGGATATAATTAAGAGTGTTTATAAATTTATATATATTTTCAATGTGTATATATCTACTGTCCTCTGAAAACAACTAAACACACAGTCATTATTGTCAAAATAGCTCGCAACAAAAGTGAGTACACCCTAATAGAACATGTCAAAACTTTCGGCTCGCTTTGCTTTTCCACTGCATGGTACGGCTCAGTAATTTTAATTAAATAAATTAATTAAATTAATTTTAATAAAATATTAAAAATTAAATAAAAAGAAGGACATCAAACATTTTATTATAACTTCGTTAATTTTGGTAACAATTGTGTGAGTGAAATCTTGTTAATAACATAGTAGTGAATCACAGGGAAACACAAACGTTACTGACAAAATAACATTTATTATTATTATTATTTTTTTTTAGATTTATTAATCAATTAATTCCTGACAAGATTGTTTTGACTGGAGCGACAACCATGTTTTCAGAAACCAAAGTTAATGTTTTTGTTTTTTACAGCAGTCAGGCTGATCATTTCCTAATGATTAGGCCTACAATATCTGACAATAACTGACTCTTTCGAAGGATCTTATCGGCATTTTTTTTTTATTCTTAGAGATTTTTTTAGACCCCATTGAATCCAATTATGACGGAAGTCCTTTAACAGTATTTTTGACACGTGTTTATTTTTGCGCGAGCAGAGGATCTGGTCAATTTAAGCCTTAAGGCAGAAACGCGTTTAACAAAAGGGTGAAAGATGATCGGACAGTGATGCTTATTGACATTTCAAAGGGCTTCCGTTGGAGTGCAGGAACACAGGCAGTAAAAGAGTGATTAGCCTGACAGGCGTCTGTATTCAATCTGCCGATGGAGACACGCCGTCTCACCTTTGATTAGCGCTCGCGTCGCGTCGCCAGATCCACGCTGGTGTCACTCCCACTCAGACTCAGCGGTGCGCGTGCGTCACGCAGTCTAGCCGCTATTGTGCGGGCTGGGGCTGCGGTCGCACCTCTTTTATTGTGCTTTCATTTTCATTAGCTTCCACAACACAAACAAACAAGATGCATTATCATATCTCTGAATATAACCGCAGCTACCAAAACAGAAAAATCACAATAAAACAACCACACAATTCAATAAAAATAAATGCTTTTAAATAAAATTGTACTTATCCCAAATGGGTGATCGACTGGCAACATGCTGATATTGATATTAATTATAAAACCAGGTCCTCATGTTAACAGTTAATCAGATTTGTCTCTTAGTTTTGCAGTGCAGGCCTTTGTCTAATCATATAAAGATTGCATATTCATTATTAATAATAATACTACTATTTTGTTGGTATGCAAACCTTGTCTTCTCTTAATCTAGACTAAAATGCCTTCCGCTTCCAGAGAGGTGTGTTGATTGACAGCTCAAATCCCATGAAACCCTTTGATCCCTCTTTAGTGCTGATGAAGCCAACTTGTTTTCGTACAATGTCACACAAATGCTCGTCCGGATTACATTTCACCCCAAGATGATAAACTTTTTGCACTGAAGCATTATTTTCATAAGAAGTGATCATTCTGATCAGTTAATCATTACTGTAACAGTCATTTTGTATTATGTTAAAAAAAAAAATCTTCTTGGTAACATTTTATTTTTAGATACTTACACGTTACTACATTAACTTGCTATATTAATAACAGTAAATTACGTATAATTACAAGTAACTAACCCTAACCCTATGGTTGCAGTTAATTAATATTACTCAGTACTTATCTGAGGAAGTACAATGTAACTATACGTCACCATAAAATATAGTGTAACCAACTTTTACCCCCATTAGAATAATAAGTGTGTCATAAAATGTGCTTAATTGTCACTGACAGGGTTCTTAACATGTTCTTGACAGAATTGTTTGAGTCAGATGGATATCTTTTTATCAAATTAGACACTTTACTTAACTCTCTCATATTTGATAAAACAGATAATTGTTTACATTTTTGGATTTTGGTCTATGGAAGACAAATGACCCCCAACACACACATTAGGCTATCCATAACAAATGTATAATATGCAATAAATTATTACTTTTTCACTTATGTCGTGTAAACCATTTTTGATTTAAAGCGTAATTGAACCATGCAAATGAAAATACTTTAAAAGTGTGCAATTTAATGACAAACACATAGCAGAGGTTTGCATTGCAAAAATGCAATCAAGGCCGTTTCAGCATTAGACAATTCACGAGTTCACAAAGCATGTTTGAAGATGACTGGCATTTGTTATATATCTGCCTTCCAGTAGCTCTTGACCTTTGAGACCAAACACACACTACCTTTGATTAATCTCACATTAATGTTGGAATGTTTCACAATTTATTTAACAACAAAATTATTTTGGGAACATGTAAATCACATGCCGATGCAAACCATGAACTCACATCAATACAGATCCGATTCCTTTTACTGATATAGAAGAAAATCAGTTTTCCTAGGATTTCATACAGTGCTCTGTTTTAAGTACACAAACGATGCGTTCTGATCAAATAGGGGGTTCGTCGGCTACGCATTTCTATTTTCGTGAACGTATATTGTATTAAAGAAATAAATACTAGCAGTAAATAAACTTTTAGTGGCTTCTAATTCTTCTAGCACATCGAGAAACCCTTACACAGTCTGATATACATAATGGAAAGCTGTACAGCTGAATTATAATTCAAATAAGGACACTTTTAAAAACATTTTTTTTTTTACTTGCGTTGATATAAATATATATATTTATATATACTTTTTGTCAAAATATATGATCGATCAGACAAAGAAAGAGACAAACACGAGTTATAAATAAGTGTCCACATACGGGTGCGAGTCTCAGCGGCATCCGCATCCCTCCACCACCATCTCCTGATAGTTCTTCAGCACCACGCGGTCCGTCTCGTCCAGGTACAGCATGGAGATGGCGCTGAGCTCGGTGGGAACGCAGCAGGCTTTGGGGATGTTGGTGTTCACCGAGTTGACCAGCGTCTGTACGATAGCGTGATTGGTGGAGTTCAGGTGATCGGCCAAGGGAAACGGACACTCGCCGTGACAGTAGTACGCCTGGTAACCCGGCGGAGCCACGATCCAGTCGTTCCAGCCCACGTCGCTGAAGTCCACGTAAAGCGCGTGTCTCCGACAGTTGCGGTTGCGCTTGCGGCCTCTTTGCTTGGGGCTTCGCTTTGCCCGCCGCGTCAGCGGATGACTTTTCCCATCGTGCCCGAACGTGACTAGCAGCGGGCGGAGCTGGGCCCAGTCTTCGTCCGGTACGGGCTGCAGGGAACGGCTCACGCGGACGTGGCGTCCCTGCGGCCGCCGGCTCGGGTCGGGGTGCACGATCTCCACGGCGAGCCCGTGGTTTGAGCGTTTATCGCGGGTCCAGCGCAGCACGGCCGGGCCAACGTCGAAACTCTCCCAGCGGGACGTGTTGTGGCGCACCAGCCGCGTGTCCAGGAGCTGCGTGATGAGCGTCCCCGCCCGCGGAGGCTTCAGCACCTCGTAGATGTTGATCCGCTGGAGACCCTCGTCTCCCGCGAGGGAGGTTGCATCATCGATCTGTTGCCTGTAGATGCGCAGCTCTGCGGTGGAAATGAGCTCCTCCTCTGGGATGCTGCTGAGATTGAAGATGAAGCGAAGCGGAGTCTCCCGAGACCCGTCAGACTGCAACTCTTCCATGTGCTCTGGAGGGAGAGACGGGGAGAACAGGTCAAGGTCAATCGCAAATGACCCTAGAATCAAATGCACTGCGTCGGCTTTCATATGCACATGATCAAAACTTAGAGAAAAACTCTCGTTTGAAATAATTCTGATGTAAATGTGGGCAAAATAGTTTTGATTTATTTAAAAAAAAAACAAAAAAACACTTCACTTGATCTGAGCGGTACAAGACTTGGCTACTTTTCCTAAGTTTGCCTCCTGAACACACTATTATTTTGGACTCGTGTATTTGGGTCAAAAATGGGCACCCATAGAAATGAATGGGAAAAACTGTGATTTAGAGCATTCTAAAATAAGACACCAGGTGACAGCAAAGTCATCTTTAGGTTTTAGCTCGAAGAACGTATTGGAATGATATTTTAATGTAGTTAAAAAAAAACAAACATAAAAATAAGCATAATTTACATAGAAAATATGGTACTTTTTGAGGTCATTAAATTCAAAAATACCCCCAAAATAAAAAACAACACCATAAATGGATAGACAAAACTTTATCGAAGACAGTGATATAACATTTATAATAAATAAAAATTAGGATCACACCTGAGTCCTCTGTGTGCCCACATTTGTCCACAATTACAGGATTAAGGGCTATAACGTGAATACGGTTTGAGGGCTACAGTGTAATTGTGCAAACGTCCTCCTTCAGCTCGAGTCTTTCCGTGTCAAATCTGCCCTGATTTATCAAGGAAACGCAGGAAGGACTTTGATATTGTTAGTAATATTTCAGCTGGACTGAAGCAGCTTCGCTTTACTTGATTACATCATTTATTATATTTATATTTATATATACACTCTAAAAAATGCTGGGTTGTTTTAACCCAACTTTGGGTCAAATATGGACTAACCCAGCCGTTGGGTTACATTTTTACATTACATTTTTAACCCAACATTTCGGGTTTGTCCATATTTGACCCAAAATTGGGTTAAAACAACCCAGCATTTTTTAGAGTGTATATATTAAAACATTTCGATCATAAAACTAAGTATTTAAATATCAGCTTACTAAGAAAAAAAACTTCAGTGTTTCTTTATTGAATAGACGGCTAGAAACTGAACACTGAAAACTTAAAATGAACATAAAATAAAGGAAGTGGAGTCAATTGGATTTTCAGAATAATAATAATATAGAAACGTAATATTTTTGCCATGTTTGTCTTGTTGCTACACTCTAAAAAACGATTCGTTGGCTGAACAACCATTACTTATAAAACAAATTAGATTAAACACAAAAAAGCTTTCCAATATTTGAGTTCACGCAACATTCTTTACTGAAAAACATATGCACATTGCGTGAACTCAAATATTTAAGTACATTTAACAAAGGTTTTCTTGTTAATTTAAAGTCAAATTATTCCAAGTTGGGATTACTTAAAAAGTGTGATGCAAAAATGGTGCATATATATATAATTTAAGTTAATCCAACACATCATTTTTTAGAGTGCAGGTCAAGCTGTTTATTTAATCTCAGCAGAAGCTTTTTAAATATTTAAAATAATTTAATATTTAAATATTCACTTTGGTATTGGTCCGCATGACGATCGAGTCATGAAACGAATCACCCAATCGGGATTAATTGTGTGATAGTGACAGATGAACTCTGTCCATCAGGGGTGTTCCCGGAGATCAGTCCTTCCTCGCTCCGACAAACTCATCTCCCAGTGTTCCTGAGGATCTTCATCCGCTGGTTTAGGTGTGTTTGATCAGGGCTGGGACTGAACTTTGTAGGAAGGCAGATCTCCAGGAACAGGATTGGAAGTGCCTTCACAATGTCCGTCCAAATCCCATTATTCGTGTATATTCCGGATCTGGTTTGCGTGTCGTTCGTTTACCGGAATATCTGCGTTGGTTTCTAGGCATACGCCGAAAACATCAACAACAGCAACATGGAGGGGTTTGCAATACAGATGCGGTCTTATTTACAATATGACAATGTGTAGCGACTTCCAGTATGTGTCCTAAAACAGCGTCTGAAATGTTTACGTTTTTTTGTAGCGTGAGAAAGTCACATGACCCGACCACCCAATCAGAGTGGTCGGACTGAAACTGATATCCAGGAATGCGAAGTGAATAGGACTTCAAACCCCTTATGAATGTAGCTCAAAACGGATCGGTAAAATCGATTTTTTTTTGCCGTTCACATTTGATCTGATTTCAATCCGGATTTGGACTGACAGTCTGAACAAGGCTTAATTGTCATCCGGCTATTTTTAAAATCATTTTCTTCAGTAGTAATCAACATTCAAAATAATACAAAAATAAAACAAAACACTTTTTTTTAAATAGTATTTTCACTTGACAGAGTGTTGTAGTGCAGAACACACACTGGCTATAGCTTTACAGACAGCAGCCATTATTCATTTTTAATTTTTTAAACCAAAAATTGTGCATATTTTAAAAAGACATCATAAAGGTCTTTTGAAGCGGTCCTTATTCATAATGAGTAAACTAAATAAACAATTGACTAACATAATCTATATTAGAGCCAGACCGATATATCGTCCGGCCGATATTATCGGCCGATATTAGGCATTTTCCAAAATATCGGTATTGGCAGTTACAATGGCCGATAAATTAATATTTCAAAAATAAAAACGAATGAAACACGCTTCAATCATCTCTCCTTGGCCTGTTATATTGAAAATGTATGTTTTACAATTTGCAGTATGATGTTATCTATTGCTAAATTATGGCTCATCATAGACTAGCTAACCACAAAGCAGGCTAATGCCACTATCGTCAGTGGAAGACCGCTAACGTTAACATTAATGAGCTTGGAAACCACAATGAACTTTTTCTGCCTAAATAAAGTAATGATAACTGTATTTATAACTAGCGTATCTCTAGTTACAGTCCCTGCATTGTAAAATGTAAGTTATACTTGCGAGGAGTGAAAATTTAGACATAGAGAAAAAGTATCAAACGTATCTTGTGCAAAAAGTTAGCTTTTCTTTTACACGTGTGTGAAATCCAACAATATTTAATAAAAAAAAAAAAATATCGGCCGATATATCGGAATATCGGATTTTAAAACCCAAAAATATTTGTATCGGTATCGGCCTTCAAAATCCGTTATCGGTCAGGCTCTAATCTATATATATATATTGGGTTACATTACGTATTTTGTTTGTTGTCTAAAGATAGTATATTTATTTAAGTAAGGTCTTCATAATACTTTTTTTTTACTTTGTATGAATGTTTTGTCTTTGGGAATTTAAATATTTGGATTGACATTAAATCAAATAAATGCACGGTTATAATCTGTAACTATATAATTAGAAGAAAACCTTTGGAACATTTAGATGTAATAATTTATAGTTGGTCCACATCATCATTTTTTTTTAAAGTGCAGAATGTGTTTGAAACACACTCCTTTATTTTAGTGTCTCTTCTCTGCATTTTTAACAAACTCTGAATCATTTACACTGAAAAAAGGTGAATCATCTTAATTAACTGGTTTTATTCAAGAAAAAAATGATTTAACATCACTGAATCAACCTTTATACATTAATTTTTTCCGAAAAAAAAAAAAAAAAAAAAAAAATTTTTTGGTTAAATCAGATTGAAATCTATGTAAAATAGACTGTTTAAGCGTGCCGATGGCCTTCTATCACCCTGAATCTGAACGTTTTTCTTCTAGGAGTCCTGTCTGCCTAACAGACCACATGGTTGGCAACAAGAGTTTATTTAGAAATCTGTAGAGTATAGCATTAAAAATAATTACATGTTGAGGAAAGTCCCTCAAACAGTATCCACATGAAAAAGTATAAACTTTTTAAAATTCTTTTTAAATGCTGGGTTGAGTTTAAACTATCCCAACGTTCTCAGGACTTAGTTATGAACAAACTTTCTTCCAGTAACATTAATCTATATTAACGTTATCAAAATGTAAGCACAAAAACGTTTACACATCTGTCGTTTCTGAAATGTTTTAGTTAGATGTTTTTAAATGCATTCAGAGAGCATTCAAAACTAGCGTTCACATGATGTTTGCAAAAAGATAAAACGTGATGATGTCCTCTTAATCTCTTAAAAAACTGGACATTTTGAACATTCACAACAGAATGGAAACATTAGCAAAGTGTTCTTATTATATATTTTTGTAGGCTGGGCAAGTACAATACATACAATATCCTTTATTGTCCCCTTATGCCTGGTTCAGATTAGATGTTTTTTTTTGTTTTTTTGTCTGTTAGGATAGTCACTGTGTCAGATTAAGAGATTTTGACTCTTGTCGTGTCAGACTACACGTTGCTTCCTGACCAGTCATCGAGTGCCGTCTTTAACGAGGCGTGTGATGTCATCGAGAAGGCGAAACTAGTAGCGAGTGACTTCCGGAAAATTTTTTTCATCCATAAACAGAAATTTATGGGATCACTTCCTATTTTCTCACATTTTTTGGTTGAAGTAGACTCACTGCTTAAATCTTTTAGTTCATCTAGCAATAAAAAAATGTAATAGATTCCTGAAAATATATGAACAATTATTTTGTATTGGATCTGATAGTCAAGATTAAACAGCTTTATATCATACATTGCTTATTTTATTTGTATTATAATTTTTTTATATATATGTTTTTTTTTTTTTTTTATGTTTTATAATTGTGTAATGTAATATAACTATTTTTATGGCGCTTGATTTGGAATTATTCTGTATAATTTGTCTTTGCTTTACCTCTTTTATGTTCTCCTGAATGTATTTGTAAATTTACGTTTCTTCAATAAAAAAAAAAAAAGTGACTTCCGGAAACGAACGTAATCAAACAATGGATGAAGCGGTGAGTGTTGTATTAGCTGTCCTGTGTTCTGAAAAAAGTAAAAAAAGAAAGAAAACGCGACAATGGACACGTTCCTGGATTGCTCGTAAGGACAGTAAGGGCTCTCTCGCCTCTCTTTCGTTTCGCCATTTTTGAAAGTTGTGTAAGGAAAAGCTTCTGTGCTCCTATTGGTCAACTATTGGTCATACATGTGACGGAACCGTCGTGGACGACCGTTAAAAAAATTAAACATGCTAGTCTTTTGTCGTGATGTCGTGAAGCATCGCAGATGCGACGTAGGTTGTCGCCCACTATGACACACTAAACGAGATGATACGATCGAATCTTGGGTCCCGACGCCCGTTGTCGTTTACGAATCCGCACGACACCATACGTCAAATGGATTGTGCCAAAATCGGGCAAAAATCGTGTAATCTGAACCAGGCATTCGGGAAATTTGTCTTGGGCTTAAAGGGTTAGTTCACCCAAAAATGAAAATTAAGTCATTAATTACTCACCCCCATGCTGTACCAACCCCGTAAGACCTTCGTTCGTCTTCGGAGCACAAATGAAGATATTTTTGATTAAATTTGAGAGCTGTATAACTACCACATTGGCTCCTAAAGGACTGCCTCTTGACGGCCCAAAAAGTCAATGAAGAAAATGTTTAAATATCCCAAGTGACTACCGTGGCTCAACTATATGTTTATCAAGTGACGCAAATACTTTTTGTGCGAAAAAACAAACAAAAATAACGAGTTTATTCGACTATTTCTTTTCTTCCTTGTAGGCCAGAACGAGAATTCCTTAGATTTCCACGACGCATGCGCGAGATTTGCGATCTGCTCACATCAGCTTACACCACTTCAGATCGCAATTCTCGCGCATGCGTCGTGGAAATCTAAGGAAGTCTCGTTCTGGCCTACAAGGAAGAAAAGAAATAGTCGAATAAACTCGTTATTTTTGAAAAATATCTTCATTTGTGTTCCGAAGACGAACGAAGGTCTTACGGGGTTGGTACAGCATGGGGGTGAGTAATTAATGACTTAATTTTCATTTTTGGGTGAACTAACCCTTTAAGGCCAATTTATACTTCTGCGTAGGGTGCGCGCGGTAGGTACGGCGTAGCATGCGTCAAAACCGCCGCCATCTTGGAACAGGGATCTTGTCATAGGAAGTAGCTAGGTAGCGCTGCTATCTCTGCCTTTACTTCGAATTCATTGATGGTGGCGGACTTTTGTGCAGCGTATGAAGTTCACGGATGAAATCTGAACTAGGAAGAATGTTTTTAAAAAAAAAAAAATTAACATTTTTTTTTTTCTTTCTGGAATCAATGATAAATACATGTCTGACCGTTGGAACAAACCAAAAAAACAAGAAAAATCGCATTCATGATCATTTATGGTGATTTTATTTGCGTTAGACCTGTGTCTACTACATTGACGCTGATGCATTAAAGTGGAGGGGCTCCCCTGTTTCAAGATGGCGGCTCTATTGACGCATTCGTTCTAATGAACTGCCGTATCCAAGGTGAGGTCTAGTGTATATGTCTATGCCTAGCCGTGAGGAATCTAAACACAGTGGAACATTAAAACCCTCCGCCGCCAACTAGCGTTTCGTAGCAGTACTGCAGAGCAACCTGAACGCAGAAGTATAAATGCTCACAACGGCGTCGCCTACATGCATAGCCAACGCCATACACTACGGCATACCCTCGACGCAGAAGTATAAGTTGGCCTTCAGTGTATGCTGTATTTCCAAATAACAGACTAAATAAATCAATCCATACATGTAGACGGGCTAAAAAGACCACTGTTATCGCACTAATAACAGCTGCATACACCAGCAATAAATGATGAGACTGTCTGCTGTTTTACCTTCATGATGGAATCCCCTCACGGTGTTGGCCCGACTGGTGGACCGCTCGGGATAGCGGAAGCTGAGGTCGTGGGCTCCAGCCTCGTCCGCCTCCCCCGACTGCAGCCGGTACAGGTCCAGCAGGTACTGGGGCACGACGGCGGAGGTGCTGGGCCGCGGGCGCCTCTGGAGCCCAAACATGTGCAGGAGCGTGGCCTCGAAGTCCCGCAGCAGCTCATGACTCTGACCCAGGTGCTGAGCCGACACTTTCTTCTTCCCTTCCTCGGATATTAGACTAGCATAGCTGCTCTCTCCCAGTAGGACTTGGCATAATAAAATAACCATCAGCATTCGATTACCAGGAATCATGATGTCTCTGGTGGGCGGTTGAACAAGGAAACAGAGAAGCAAGACTTGAGTGAACGATGTCACATTCAACGATGACCAAAAACACACAAAATCATTTTGCTCAGAAACATGGTTAATGCAAGTATAAGGCTGAGTTGAACACGTTTAGTGTGACCTCCATACTCAAGGAGTCGACAAAGTTTCCTTCAAATAACTACAGGTTTTTATTTAAGTAAGTTGTCATGAACATAGATATCTATATAAAGGCTAGATATCTCGTCCGTGGTGCTGGCCAATGGAGGTCGACGTCAACACCTGGCGGCCATCTTGTCACAGGCAGCTCGCTCACTGGTAGCATTGTGTTAATGGTGCATGTACTTTTTAAATCACCGTAACTTGCTCAATTTTCTACCGATTTTCAAACGGTCTGGTTTGTTATAAACGGCAGAGATGTAGTTATGATACTGCATACTTATGAATAATAAGTGTATAAATAAATAATCATCCAGAATTATAGCCACGTTAATAATGTTTGTAAGAAACCAAACCGTTTGTAAATCCGTCAAGATTTCAACGAGATAAGAGTATTTCTTACATCAGATACCACAGAGCCCGCCAGAAAGCCTGTCTGTGACAAGATGGCCGCCGGTGATGACGATAAATACTCCGCCGTGAGACATCTAGCCTTTATATAGATATCTATGGTTATGAATCTTTTGACTTCATTCACCATTGTTCAAACAATTTCCCCACCAAGTGACTAAAGTGTTAGCAGTACAAAATGCACGGCTACGTAAGATATGAGCTTTTTTGACCACAAAATCTTGCAAATGTGACCGCATCTTTCCACTAACTTACACCATGATACCGGTTGAACTAAAAAAATCAGGATAGTCTTAATAGTCAGAATGCAAACTTTGGTGTAAGATTTACTTGAAAAACCACAGAAGTTACTAGTAAATTTCACAAGTAATTACGAAAAATTGGCATGTAACACATTGAATGAAATGTAAAATTTGGATCTAGAACGACTTAAATAGAATATTTGTAAAACTACTCCAATAAAAGTACTTTGGATTCATGTACTTGCGCAAAGTATGTTTTGGACCTTATTCATAACTCGTTTATAATTCAATAGTTTACAACTATATAAAGAAATGAGCTGAGAAGTTTAAGGGATCATTTAACAAACAATGAAATATAATTCTGTCATCATTTACTCACCCTCATCATTTCTTCAGAAAAAAAAAATACATTTAAAGGAGTAGTTCACTTAAAAAAAAACGTTTGCTGATAATTTACTCACCCCCATGTCATCCAAGATGTCCATGTCTTTCTTTCTTCAGTCGAAAAGAAATTAAGGGTTTTGATGAAAACATCCCAGGATTTTTCTCCATATAATGGACTTCAATGGGAACCAAACGGTTCAAGGTCCAAAAGACAGTTTCAGTGCAAACTGTTCAAAGGGCTTTAAACGATTCCAGACGATGAATAAGGGTCTTCTCAAGGGAAACGATCCGTCATTAAATAAATAACAAAGTTTAAGTTTTATAAGCTCAAATGCTCGCCTTGCTCTGTTCTGTGATGTGCGTTTGTGACTCTCCTGTTCGAACTCGTTCATCAAAATGAACGAATCTTTTTCCGAGTCAATTCGTTCGTTTCATTCGTTGAATGAACCAAACGACTCGGAAAAAGATTTGTTCGCTTGACAAGACCCTTATTCATCGTCTGGAATCGTTTAAAGCCCTATGAACAGTTTGCACTGAAACTCTCATTTGGACCTTGAACCGTTTGGTTCCCATTGAAGTCCATTATATGGAGAAAAATCCTGGAATGTTTTCATCAAAAACCTTAATTTCTTTTCGACTGAAGAAAGAATGAAATGGACATCTTGGATGACATGGGGGCGAGTAAATTATCAGCAAAGGTTTTTTTTAAAAGTGAGCTAAACAACTTTGGACCAACTTTTCGCTGTTTTTGCAGCAAAGCCATCTAAGAACCATTTTTTTCTTCATACTTTTTCTTAATCTGAAGAACCTTTTCCCAATAAAGTAGAAAAACTGTTTTTTCATGGAACCATCGATGCCAACAAATATATATTTTTAAGAGTTTACGGACCAAAAAATGCAAAAGTCTGGAATGATGTGAGGGTGAATAAATGATGTCCGATTTTTTTGTGTGTGTGTGTGTGTGTGAACTATCCCTTTAAGGGTCAAACCAAACAGCAGTTTGGTAATGTCAAACAAAGATGGCAGCCTGCAATTTTCAAGTGCACAAACCGCAAGATAAAACGCGTGACCACTGTTGTTTTGTAAAGAATGACTAAGCCTTTTAATTTGCAGCAAAAATGTCACACAATTACGACTGGATATGCGTGGTCCACTTACCGACAGAAAATAAAGCATGGGAAAACAGTCCATGTTTGTTGAGAGGTGACACAGGACGAGTTCCTCAAGCGAATGTTACGTGGTCCTGCTAGGCGGTTTAAGAACTGCGGTGAGATCCTTTTCCTGAAAGACAAGAGTATATTTGTGACATTTCAGAACGAGCATGGCATGATTGCAAGGCAAGAGTATATTTACTCAAGTTTAGGCCAGACACCTTTAAGCAACTAAATGCTGCCTGCGCAACACGTTATCTTGGCTCATTTACAAGACGACCAGGTGTGAACACCTGAAAGGACGGCACTTCCAATTTACATACAAATGGAGGTCCGTCTGTCAACAAAGGGATCTCAAAACTGCCTCTTTTATTGACGGTCTTCTTACAAGTGCCTCTTAAAGAGTCTTTAAAAATCCCCCAACCCAGACTGGGCATGCAAGCGGCACCGTCCCGGTTTGTTAACCCGTAACATCCAGATCCGTGCCAAAAGCAGAGTGTGTTTAACGGATGTCTTGGTCTCCACAAATGTGATTTTCAACAAATTATCCGAGTGCAGAGTAAATGCACTAATAACAATCACAAGTGCTTGGGAACGGTCTCAGAAAACAGCGTCACCACTGAAACCTTACCACAGCTGAACTCAATGTATTTTGTCATTTCTTGGACTTAGTTTTACTGGACCGAGTCCAACCATTACAGCAGGAATGATGCATTTTAACAAGAACACCGTGTGTGTGTGTGTGTGGTCACGAGTGTTACTTCTCTCTCCCCGTCTTCACGATCGAGCAGCAGTCGTGATGCTAGTGTTTGTCATTTTAGAGGGATATACCTTTAAAAAGATGTCTGCAGTTTTAGCAATGCTATTCAAACAGCTCATTACGCCGAGAGCAAACCATAAAAATGAGCGTATCTAAAAGACTTTGATCAGCCGTGCCAGAAAACATGCAACAAAGCACAAACAATTGGTTTCTTCAGACCACCTACTCTTGTTTAAACGCCTACAGATACTGCCCCAAATATTTACAGAATCCCTTTTTGATGTGTTTGAAGATGGAGAGCATTTGCACAGTGTGGGTTTACAGTCCTTTAATTTCACTGTGTAAAGCTCACAGTGCTCGATACCCTAACCCTGCTTAATGAGATTAGGTTATGCGCATGGTCTTCGGGGTATGGGGGAGAAACAGACAATATTGAGCAGCCAGTGTTAGGATTTAACCTCTGACCAGTTTTATTCAGAAATCAAATCTGGAAGCATGAGTAGCATCATGTGCATCTAGAAAACAAGACGGCTTAATAGCAGCCGATGCAAAGTGGCGAACAGCCTTCTGTGTTAGCAGAGCTCCAAGGACATGTACATACATAATCTTATTGTTTCATCCCGAACTAATACGTTTAAAATATACTATATTAAAATCAATGACAATATTAAAGTTAAGAAAACAACTCATCTAAATGTGTTGTTGTCTCTCCCGCTTTAAAATAAACTAATCTGTCCACCAATAACAAGGATTGCAATATAAGCAGAATAATAACAAAGTACGCAAGTACAGTATTATAGTACTATAAGCTAATCTAACCCTAAAACCGGATTCTGGACAAATGTGGGCAAAATAGTTAAAAAAAAATACCTCCCTTGATCTGAGTGGTACAAGACTTGGCTACTTTTCCTAAGTTTGCCTCCTGAAAACACAGAATTTTTTTTTTTTTTTGACTCAATTCTACAATGTTAAGTGGGTGAAAAAAAAACTCCTTAAAAATCTTGTATTTGGGTCAAAAATGGGCACCCATAGAAATGAATGGGAAAAACGGTCATTTAGAGCATTCTAAAATAAAACACCAGGTGAGAGCAAAGTCATCTTTAGGTTTTAGCTCTAAGAACTTATTGGAATGATATTTTAATGTAGTTAAAAAAATTAAAAAATAAAATAAAACATAAAATAAGCATAATTTACATAGAAAATATGGTACTTTTTGAAGTAAATAAATTCAAAAATACCCCCACCCCCATAAATGGATAGACAAAACTTTATCGAAGACGGTGATATAACATTTACAATAAATAAAAATTAAGGATCACACCTGAGTCCTCTGTGCCCACATTTGTCCACAATTACAGGATTAAGGGCTATAAAGTGAATACGGTTTGAGGGCTACCATGAAGCACTTTCTTGGCCTAAAATAGGTTCAAGACCCTTGCTCTAGAGTCTAGACTCTAGACGGCAACATCTGTTGATCTGTATTCAGTAGTGGACTGGCTGACTCTTGCAACAGTTCACTTTTAATGTCAAGTATTTGGTATGAAAAGATATTTAGAGTATATGTTTTTTTTCTTTTGCTTTCCACATCCTTAAACTAAAGACACAGACCCATGGTTGCTGCTGTGTCTCTTTATGTCATAATACCCCATGAAACCTTTCAGACGTGTTCTTATGCATGACCGAGTGCCACCACTCTTCACTACAAGTCTTCAAAACATTCGTGGAGGTCACATTTACTAGTGCATTCTCACACTGGAGACTGGTTTCACTTCACTTTTCAAATTAAGAATACAACTATTTCCTTGAGATAAAGCCTTTAGCTATGTGTTTGAATCAGATTCAGTGTCACAGTGATTTGGAACATTTCAAATCTAAAATTTTGTTGTAGATTCCACAAGTAATCTTGATAGGTTTCTGCTTTCCTGGAGCTTTGGCTAACATTTTGTCAAGGTTCTCACAATGTTATGAACAGACATTCTTCCAGTAATGATAATAAAGTTATCAATACATTAGCACAAACATGTTGTTTTATACACTGTTTATACGTTTTTTTTTTCCTGAAACGTTTTAGTTGTATGTATCTAACATTTTGTACAGAAATGTCACTACTTGTTTTAGAATGTTCAGAGAACATTCCAAAGGAACGTTCCAATAATGCTTGCAAAATTCTAAAATGGAATGTTCCCGTAAAACAAACAAACAAACAAACAAACAAACAAACAAAAAAAAAACATTAGACGTTTCCATAATGGGAACATTAGCAAAACGTTACATTTTTGTTAGCTACGACCATAACTGTTAAGAGTTGACAACATACAGCAACTAAACTTGTAGTAACATGCTATTAGCCACCACAAAACACAAATTAAACATAAAATATATTTTCTGTTTGAATGAAATGCCATATCATATTCCAACCATACAGCCCAGTGCGGTCAGGTGTTTGCACGCGTTGGTGGTAAACTTGCAAAAACATTTACCATAAACATCCAAAAGTGACTGAACAACATTTTGACATATTTAATGCTGTGCAATATTCCCAATACACCGAGAACAATTCGTTATCGTGAACGCGACAATCCAGACAGCTCCCGTGAATTATAATAATCGCGTCTCTCGACGAACAGACAGGTTTGTGGGTTAGGCTATAATGAAAGCATTCGAGTTGGATGTCTCGCCTTCAAATAAGATGGGAAGTTAATTATTTCCATATAGCTACACACAATTATTGAACGTGTGTAATTGGGTTTTAAATAATATCCTATCACAGATAAAGTCACTTATGACCATGCATTTCTAAATGAATGCTGACTTCAATACGACATGCCAACCTACCATTGGTAAGATGCGCACGGTATTCCTGAAGAGAAGACGTAAAACGGAGTTTCCAACGGAGTTCGCCTCACATAGCAAAAGTCCGAGGCTGAAGGGAAAGTTTAGGTCATTAGTTCCGCGTCATGTGGAAGAGGAAGAAGCCAGCTGAAGAAGTCCAGTGGATCTGTAGCTCCAGGAAAATGCGAGAACGGAGAACATCACCGACTGATCCCGCATCCAGTTCTCCTGGCAGTTTTTATGTGACCGCCCAATGAAGTTCCTTTGCCTCCTCCCCTACTCTCTCAACCCAACACCTCACACACACACACACACACAAACCCCAGAGAACGCAAACACACGACATCTATTTCCTCTGTAACTTACATTCACGCGCGGTGGATAATAATTTCGTTTTCCTTTCCCGAGTTGTCATCGCATGCATGGGTTCACCACATTTCCATTGAGTCTGGAACAGCCTGTATGTCCTGGGACTCAGGAATAGACTTTTGTCCACTGTATGAACATTATATTTTAGTAGCCATGCCAGTTTTAAAGAGCACTTTCAGGGCTTGCAATGTTTGGAGGTTGAAACATGAAAAATGCTATCATTTAAATCTGAATAGGCCTAGCCTAATCTTAATTTTTTTTTGTGTCATGAATCAACTTCTCAGGAAAATATTGTGGTGTTTCTAATTAAAATATGACTTTCTGTTACAAAACCGGGCATTGATCTACAGTATATCCACTGGACAAAACAACTGAATTTCTATGAAAAATTCCTATGAAATATTAGATATTATTATGAAAATGTCACCAATTATTACTCCCATTGTTACACTTCTTTTTTCATTACATGTTGCCCTAAGAACACATTAAAGGGTTAGTTCACCCAAAAATGAAAATTAAGTCATTAATTACTCACCCCCATGCTGTACCAACCCCGTAAGACCTTCGTTCGTCTTCGGAACACAAATAAAGATATTTTTGATTAAATTTGAGAGCTGTGTAACTACCACATTGGCTCCTAAAGGACTGCCTCTTGACGGCCCAGAAAGTCAATGAAGAAAATGTTTAAATATCCCAAGTGACTACCGTGGCTCAACTATATGTTTATCAAGCGACGCGAATACTTTTTGTGCGAAAAAACAAACAAAAATAACGAGTTTATTCGACTATTTCTTTTCTTCCTTGTAGGCCAGAACGAGACTTCCTTAGATTTCCACGACGCATGCGCGAGAATTGCGATCTGAAGTGGTGTAAGCTGATGTGAGCAGATCGCAAATCTCGCGCATGCGTCGTGGAAATCTAAGGAAGTCTCGTTCTGGCCTACAAGGAAGAAAAGAAATAGTCGAATAAACTCGTTATTTTTGTTTGTTTTTTCGCACAAAAAGTATTTGCGTCACTTGATAAACATATAGTTGAGCCACGGTAGTCACTTGGGATATTTAAACATTTTCTTCATTGACTTTCTGGGCCGTCAAGAGGCAGTCCTTTAGGAGCCAATGTGGTAGTTATACAGCTCTCAAATTTAATCAAAAATATCTTCATTTGTGCTCCGAAGACGAACGAAGGTCTTACGGGGTTGGTACAGCATGGGGGTGAGTAATTAATGACTTAATTTTCATTTTTGGGTGAACTAACCCTTTAATGTGCAATTAGATACAAAATATAGCTATTATATTGAATGGCACAACACATTTATGGCCTACATTAATTAAAATGGTATATCAATTCAATACGTTATATTTTTCACAACATAGTTGAGAATCATCTTATACAAAGTGTGGTTATAAAACCTAAAAATTGATTGGTGCATGAAAAAAAATCCCATTTTTTTTCTCATACATGTCATTTAATGTCGTTTTATTTTTTAATTTAGTCCTGGTGTCGACTACAGAGGACACAGCATAACACATCAAGTCAAGTCAAGTCAAGTCAAGTCAAATATATTTATATAGCGCTTTCACAATACAGATTGTATCAAAGCTGCTTCACAGAATCAATCAAAACAACTTAACAGTGTTTGTTTATTACTGGGAAAAAGACATCCAAGTTTGGTAGAGCAGATCAATGGTATGATGGGTCATTTAATTTGAGTATCCCCAACTGAGCAAGCCAAAGGCAACAGTGGCAAGGAACCGAAAAACTCCATCAAGTGACCCGATGGTGTCCCAAAACTCCATCAGGTGACCCAATGGAGAAAAAAAAAAAATCTTGGGAGAACCCAGGCTCAGTCGGGGGCCAGTTCTTCTCTGGCGTTTATGAGCTAGAGGCCAAATTTACAGTAACTGTAAGATAAAAAAAAATTATATGAATGCCTGGCTGAATAAATGCGTCTTTAGTCTAGTTTTAAACTGGGAGAGCGAGTCTGAGCAACGATCAATATCAGGAAGGCTTCGGACCTAAATGTGAAAATGCTCTCCCTCCTTTGGTGGATGACCAGACGCCTCGAATTTAGTGATCTTAAAGAGTGCGATGGATTGTAGGGCGAAAGAAGATCTGTTAAATAGACTGGAGCTAAACGATTTAGAGCTTTATAAGTCAAAAGCAATACCTTGTAATTAATACGGAACTTTATGTAACCAATGAAGTGGAATCGGTGTAATATGATCATATTTTCTTGACCTAGTAAGAACTCTAGCAGCTGCATTTTGTACTAACTGTAGCTTGTTTATTGAGGATGCAGGACAACCAGCTAATAAAGCATTACAGTAATCTAGTCTCGAGGTCATGAATGCATGAACTAACTTTTCTGCATCAGAGACAGATAGCATGTTACGTAGCTTAGGTGGAAAAAGGCTGTTTTTGTAACATATGAAATATGCTTTTCAAAAGACAGGTTGCAGTCTAATATAACACCCAGGTCTTTTACTGTAGTGGATAAAGTAACAGGACATCCTAATATGTTAAAGTCGTGCTGCAAAAGTTTTTGTTGCCGGTTTTTAGAACCAATAAGTAATACGTCTGTCTTGTCTGGATTTACTAAAAGAAAATTACGCATCATCCAATCTTTTATATCTTTAACACAATCTGTCATGAAATATGAAATATACATTTGAGTGTAATCAGCATAACAATGGAAACTAATTATATGTTTCCTTATAATATTACCTAGTGGGAGAAAATATATTGAGAATAATAAAGGGCCTAACACAGATCCCTGTGGCACTCCATAGTTTGCTGAAGTCATGATCGATTTTTCTCCATTTAAGTAGACGAAATGGTAGCGGTCAGATAAGTATGACCTGAACCAGCTTAATGCTTTTCCCTTAACACCAATGTATTTGTGTAGTCGATCTATAGTATTAAACGCAGCGCTAAGATCAAGTAAAACTGTTGAGGTACAGCCTTGGTCCGAAGCTAGAAGTAAATCATTTGTGATTCTAACAAGCGCAGTTTCAGTGCTATGATGTGTCCTGAATCCAGACTGAGACTTTTCATAGATGTCGTTTTCTTGCAAGAAAGAGCCGAGTTGAGCGGACACAACTTTTTCTAATATTTTTGACATGAATGGAAGATTTGAGATTTTGCTAGGTTATGTGGATCTAATTGCGGTTTCTTAATAAGAGGTTTTATAACTGCCAGCTTGAACGTTCTTGAAACATGACCTAGAGATAAAGATATTGAGAAGAGGCTCTTCCACGATAGGTAACACTTCTTTCAATAGTTTAGTTGGTATAGGATCTAATAAACATGTTGTTGTTTTAGGTGAAGTGATAAGTTTAACTCTTTTTGTTCTATGGTTATAATATAAAGCATTGTAACATATGAATAAAATATAATTAGAACCATTTTTTTTGGTCAAAATACTAAATTACATTTTTTTCTGGGATTCAGGAGGATATAATACAATAATTGTTAATACATGCTTAATACATGTTTTTTTTTATAGGGCGTAAAATAAATTCTTTATGGAAACCAGGATTTCTTTGTGTACTCCCCTTACAAAGTGAAAATTAAAAAGATGTTGATAGAGATAAATTCATAAAATTGAAATGTTTACACCATTCCAGCGATAAGTCCAATCTGAAATGTGTGATCAGTGTCATTTATAGTCGCAGTGAGATCAGTCAGTGTTTCCTAATGTCTCGGTTTGACCCTTGTGATGACATTCCCCCGCTGTGTGAATTCCCACTCGCAGACACACTCGGTTTAGCTCTAGTGCTATAGTCACACAGCGATACAGTGCCACCGCTCCTCCCGCAAACCTTCTGGGTCTGTAGTGGATGTCTTCATGTTTAGAGAAACATCTCTTTTCTTTAGTAATTCAAAACGGAAACCTGTTTGCTTCTTCATACACATTCCTGGTCTTATCTCTACAAGATTCGTCTGAGCTTGTCTTCGTAATCTTCATCCAGAACCTCTGAAATCACTATCATTTTCAGTGGACATCCCTAAGCTCTCTCTCTCTCTCTCTCTCTCTCTCTCTCTCTCTCTCTCGACGACTCAATCAATCCAAACAAATCATACCTATTTTTATTTTTCTGCATCTGCTTTCCCATCTAGACACAAATAAAATGGCTGTTCCACATTTAAGACATTTATTTTTCAATTATGTAAAGATTCTCCCCTTAAACAAACACTATTTCTTGTTGTAAGCCCCACTTTGACGACAGTTGGTGTTTTACAGTCAGATGTTGACTTAGAGGAGTATTCCAGGTTCAGTACAAGTTCAGTTTAATTGACAGCACTTGTGGCTCAATGTTGATAGCAGTAATTCAGTCCAACTAGTCTCTCTTTACTCTTCGCTCCGAGAGAAATCTGTAAAATCATACTGTATTAATATGAAGGAATTTTCCGTATTGATTGTGCACAGGTGTTGTACTCGTATTCTGAATTATGCATTGCAATGTTTCAGAGTTAATATTCGTACACTAATCCTGGCAGAAAATTACCATTACCTTATTGAGTACCTTATCTGTTACCTTATCAGTTACCTTATCTGTTACCTTATCAATTACTTTATCGATTACCATATCAGTTACCTTATCAATTACCTTATCAATTACATTATCAGTTACCTTATCAGTTACCTTATCAATTACCTTATCGATTACATTATCAGTTACCTTATCTGTTACCTTATCTGTTACCTTATCAATTACTTTATCGATTACCATATCAGTTACCTTATCAATTACCTTATCGATTACATTATCAGTTACCTTATCAGTTACCTTATTATCAGTTACCTTATCAATTACCTTATCGATTACATTATCAGTTACCTTATCAGTTACCTTATCAATTACATTATCAGTTAC